ATTCAATGGTCTCGTTCCCACCTTGGCGTATTTCCGCCCGTCCCTAACGCGCTACAAAACGGCCCACGCCTAAAAAGGTACATGTACTACTTTGGGCCGTTTTGTTGCGCGTTTCCATTTGGATACCGCCAAGTAGCCTTCAGAAACGCGCGTTTTGTCGAATCGCGGTAAAAAAACGTGCATCGGTCGCACGACAGACGCGCATATGCAATACGCATCGGTGTGAACCAGGCCTAAGATATACCTCTTTACTACAGGTTTACTCACTTTATTTATTTTATTGGTATTTTAATTGTTCACTTATACTAAATTTGCATTGCATGCCAAAATAACTGGTACAGTGAACAGATGGGTGAAGGGATTTAGGACAAGTAAATATTGACTGCAGTGAGAATAGTTTCAGTTCGACCATGCCAGGTTTCATGGTATTGATCATTGTGTACTGGGTCATTCTTACCATATTTTTAACCCTGAGGGAAAAAAAAAAGTCCTCTTTACTAATTGTTCCATGTGAGTGAGAGAATGGTAAAATGAGTAAGTCAGCCCACCTAGTGTGTGTCTGTGATAAACTAGATAGTAAATGTTTACTCATACTCTGCAGTCTCAGGGTCATATTCATGGTGAACAACATACAGTCTTATTGAATGATGTCATCCTTTCAAACCAGACATATGTAAGTTATTTTTTCTTTGAGGAAAATCTAGAATTGACCTCCTGTTTTGTATTTGGTATTACTGCTTCTGTGCATAAGAGGTTGTTGAACATTGTACAACAGATATTTGTATTGCTTTCATGTATATATTTCTAAGCTCCTTGTAAACTTTCCAACAGTCCTATAATATATCCCCTATTACTGCGCTACACAATAAATCAACAATTTTCGAAACCCAGAAAATTTGGAAATCAGCTGTGATTAAATAAATATAATATACCCACATATATAACCAGTGCTAAACGACAAATATGTGCTATAAATAATAAATACAATGTTGAAAAGTCCACAGTCTTTCTGTGTAACCGTGTTACACAAAACCTGTCCTTGGAAATGGATCCACCATCTTTAACTAAGGAAATTATACGCAACCCCAAATGTGCTGAAATCTACATCAAATGTACTCCAACTCCTCCAATGTATCTATGAAGGGAGCCATGGTTGCCATCTAGACTGGACTTCAAATATGTCTGTGCAGAAGAAAGATCGTATTCTTTTATGCCCCCAGTTCACTTCACAGAAAGTGACCAGAACATTGCATTGTTGGCAAGATCAACAAGTATTTTCTGTAATTGGTAAAAATGCACTTGCGTAAAAAAAAGACTTATTAAACCACCACATGTAAGGATTAGTTAGCTTTCATATATTACCTTTTTGTCCTTGGATTACTTTATCCTTTAACCCTTAGTGTAAATCTACTCCTACACTTCAACCTTTAACCCACTGCTCTTAAACAAGAATGTCAATATTTAGTCTTAAATTGTTTTTGCGTAGTGTTATTTATGAAATATTTATATTTCAAAGCGTATTTACCTTTACTTAGTTCAAGCCTGACACTTAAAGTGGACCTTTACCCCCTTTGACAAAACAAATCACATACAGCTCTGGATGCTGATATGAAATCGTCTTACATTAGCTAAACAAACATATTTTTATTTTACTTACAGATTCTTTTTTTCTACTTTCTGGTCCACTTTGGCACAAATGATGTAATCATGCTCAAGCCTTGCATCCTGGGAAGATTACATCACAGTGCATTTTCGTCCCCTGAGATGACGTGCATGGTCACATGTCCTAGTAACGTGCCAGAGTTCCAGGAAGTAAAGGGAGATCTGTTAACCTGCCATTAGTTAAAATAGCCACTGTGTGAAGAATACGTATGCAAAGAATACAAAGCCGGCAATTATCTAGAAGTATCTGTTTGTAGATTGTCTTTACTAAACATTTCTAAAGGTGCCTTTGTTGTTATTTTGAAGATAAGGGTAGGGGAGATTTCGTGAATTCCCAGTGTCAGCCTTGTCCGCTTGTTCACCTCCCAACTCCAGACTGTATAACAGTGTTTAATGCTGCCATAGTTGCCTATGTTTCTTTTGATTACAGTACTGGATGTGCTGTCTGGCAGGGCTGTGTAAAGCACAGCACTAGCCTGACAAAATTGCAAATCCTTTGTCAGGTAAAACCGCTCCTATATGTGTATTTTAACAGAATATTTAGCAATTTGTCTGGTGCATCATGAACTTGATATGAACTTTTACATTTGTACTTTTGCTTAGCAACTGTTAAGATAAAATTTAGCCACACAGGGTGATGCACCCTGTTTTCAGTTAGCTTGCCTACTCATAGACTTGCATTGTATAAAAGCACAGTTAATGCAAAACTGTGGCATAAAAACATACAGTTGAGAGCAGTATGGATTTCTTTTCAGGTGGAATGCAACATTTGGAAAATACCGCATTATGTCCACTAGATGGAGCTGAGGAGCACAGAAAATACGTATTTCCAATGCTTGTCAGCTCCATCTAGTGGCCTCAGTGCAGTATTTTCCAAATGTTGCATTCCACCTGAAAAGAAAATATACTAAGAATGTTCGTTTTGCCTCTATTCGCAAAGAACAAATGTCCACAGAGAGTCGCAGGGCAAGTGGCTCTGGGCATTTTTTCAAAATAGACTCTATACTATGTCTCTGTTACAGTAAAGGTTTCTTACCTTAATTCTCAAAATCTTTACTGTTCACTGAGCTGCGCATTTGCAGCTTGCATACAATCCGAGCATCTGTCAGGTGCCAGAACCAATTAAATCTTGTGCACATGTGTGGGAGTTACGTCATCCCTCCAACTAGCCAATCAACATGACTGAAGACCGCCAAAGAACCTAAAAGAAGTTGAAGAGAAGATGTTGGCACTAATGAGGGAGCTTGTGGATGTCACATAGCTGAAACAGAGATAAGTAAAGGCAACGCATGAGTCTGACCATTGTGCAGCACTGCAAAGCAGGAAGAAAGTGCCTGTGTTACGTTACAAGCAAATATGACTGCCCCCATCTAAATATATAATTACAAACTAAACATAGAAACTAGATTCATAAAACAATATAATTATTTTTATAAAACTGATTTCCTTCACATGTGTATTTTTCCAAATATTGAAAAGACTATACATTCCTTTTAATAACAACCTCTGCTGTGTTTAGGGGCACTAGAAAAGCACGTGATTAGTTAACTTGTACCTGCTGCCTGTATTTCACAGAAATGTCCAGCATATTTCCAAGAATGCTCATCCTTTAACAGTCATTGACATGCTAGTCTAAGAACCGTGTGACTCATGGGCTCTGAAGTAATTTAATATACGGCTCTTGAGAGTTTTTTTGCTGGAAATGTAAATAAACAACTTATTTATCATACTGTTAGTCACAGTGAGCAGAATGTGTGCTGAAATACGAGGTGATCTGGAGATCAGGAGCACACATACATTGGAGTGATAATATGGATTTCCAAGTAGCAATGCTTCTTATGACTGAGAATCCTCCATGAGTACATACCACCAGTCTCAATCCACACATTTCACGAATCTCTTATAACCAAGTATAGATTGTCTATTCTGTTTAGTTTTAGCTGTAGCCACCTTTGCACATCTCTACACAAAGTTAGCAGAGTTAGGGAAATATAAATGTTAAGACATACTCCTTGGTTCCCTGATACTTTTTTTTGTCTTTGCAGATGGTATGACTTAAAGTATTTGTTAACCCGGTCACTAAAATCTTGTGTAAGCTTCAACATGTTGATGTAATTTATTTGTGTATGTCTATTTCCGTAGTACATGATATGTAGCCCTGTACTACAGGTCATTTATCACTTTTAAAGTCCCTTTTAAAGTTACGGTATTTTTGATACCATATTGTTAATGTTGACCCCCTTTTCCACTTACAGAGCTAGTTTATTGTTTTTCTTTGAAATAAATATTCATGTAATTTTATTGGTATCTATCTTCATTTTGTACATTTACCAGCTGCCTCATTTCCCACCCTAGGCTTATACTCGAGTCAATATTTTTCCCCAGTTCTTTGTGGTAAAATTAGGTACCTCGGCTTAGGGCTGTGGAAATTAAAGATTAAACTTTTTTATCGATTTCAAATTATTTTGATCGCTAATGAAAACACTCACCTCTCCGCCGGCTTCCGGGAGTCCCGTCGGCGATGTCCGTGACATCACCGGACTCCTCCCTTCTTCCCCAAGTGGCTCCGTCGGCTAACGAAGGGAAGGGGGGAGGAGTCCGGTGACGTCGATGTCCGTGACAGCTAACGAATGGCATCTGCATGAAAATTAGCGGGGGCTCCACACTATACATTTAGCTCTGCTTGTCAGGAGCAGGGCTAAATGTACAAGAAAAACTACTCGCCCGCCACCCCGAAACTGCATGTCCCAGGCGTCGAGCGATAGGGATTCCCTCAGCTCTCACACATTCGCTCCAGACACACAGACATTTTTGCCCGCCTTTTGCTGGGAAAAAGTGTGTCTCAATGGAGCGAAAAAATTCGGTAAGTGTGTAAAGTTAATGTGCGCCATTTGGTTTTCATAACAGTTTTTAACAGTCCAAAAGAGACCAAATAAAAGAAGTACATTGTTAGAGTCTACATACAATGAATAAGCAAACTAAATGTCATTCAGTTACATTTTACAACTACATGAATTAATGTCTCGCAATAGTTTAATTAGCTCACAATGTTTTTTTGAGATTGCTGTTTTAAGAACATCTGCTTACAAAGGTTCTGTTCTGTTATAAATTGTGTTTGTGACAGTTTTTGTGTGTATATAAGGGGGAGCATAGAGAATGTTACGCCATGTTTCATTACTTAGAAGTGTGGCATTTACTGTAGTAGCTTAAGCTGTTATTATTACAAGCACCAATTTTGACAGCATTTAAACAGCTGGGGTCATTGTGCAGTTAAAGTGCATGTCTAATTGATCCATCTTCCCTTAACTGACCTTTTAATGTGTTTGTCATCTTTGCAGGCATCAGAGGCTTGGAAGAATTTGTCTTCAAGTCTGCAACATTGTCCACATCGCCAGCATGTCCTCCATTCATTCCTCTCAGCTTTGAAGCCACACCAATTGTCCGAGTTGCTGTAGAACCAAAATATGCAAGTAAGTAACCAATAAAATGAACTTTTATTTAAAAGCAGTGAATAAGGAGAGGGGGTGAAGCTTTTCTCAACCTTTTTACCCCAGGGGAACCCTTGAATTAACTTTCTGATCTCAAGATACCCCTGCTAAAAATTATTTTATTTACAGCTCACGGTACATAATCAAGATCAGTAAGTTGTAGATATTGAAATAATTAACCACTTGCTGCAGGTAGATGTAAATATACGGCGGGCCACATGAGTGGTTATACCAAGAACACAGCTGCTGCTGCAGCCGTGTTCTTGATGTCATTTTAAACAGCCGGCATTGGCTGATAAGATACAAGCAATCGGGCGTCTATACAGCCGCTGGATTGTTTGTACCGTTTGCTTCCCCTGGCTCCAGGCAACGATTGGAGATAGATCAGCAGGCTTCCAGCCACTGATCTCTCCTCCGATCACTGGACCCGGAAGTGATGTGTATTACATCGCTTTCGGTGTCACTGCTTACATTCTCCGGCTCTTAGAGCCAGGAGAGGACGCTGGGGAAGCAGACGCTGGGGATCTCTGCTTCCTCAGCTTCTTTGGGGTCCCTAGGTGACATCAGGGGTCTTGAAAGCAATAAAGTTAGTGTAAAAAAAAATGGTGTTTAAAAAATAAAAAAATTAAAGTAACATATAAAAAAAATTATTTTAAATCCCCCACCCCCCACGTGCCGTTAATCACTGTTAGCACTAAAATGATGAGCGGTAAAAGCTTTTAAAGTGTCCCCTATGAGAAATGTGGGGTATTTAAATTTTTGAGGGCTTCATGAGAGAACGCAGTTTTAAGGCTTGACATGTTTGGTATCTATTTACCTGACGTGACCCCGTCTTTCATATTTTACCAAAAAATTGGGTATTATATTCTGTTTCTGTGCACTAAATGTAATTTTAGTTTATTTTATCCTAACAATACTGGTTTGATAAACATTTGCGCAAATATCGTGCCTCTGCACGGGGCCTCTGCTTTCAGAAAATATATATTGTTTGGGGGGTTGAAGCTGTTTTCTAGCCAAAAATTCCGATTTTATCATTGCTCCAGACAGCAAGTGGTTAAAGGACAAAACGTAAGCAAAAATGTTAGTGTCCCTTTTAAATTGTTGGTCAATGGAAAAACACCCTCTAACATTAAGGGTCAGTGGAAAGAATACCACTTCCTTTTGTAGCAGCAGCAAAAAGGTGCCTTTGTTTTCTAATCATTATTCAGGAGTGTCATTTCAAATATTTAGAGCATAGGTTCACACTGAAAAAAGCATTTTTAGAGTAGATAGAGACTCTGAAATGATCAAGTTGCACTACATATATTTGTTTGCCGGCTGAAAGGGAGCCAACAGCGGCACACAGTGTGCAAATTTTGGTCAGTACATTAAAAACCAGCCAAAATTCGACCAGTGTATGGGTACCTTAAGTATTTGCCCTCTGCCTGCCTTTTTTTTTTTTTGCATGGATTTCAGACTTCAGTTCACTTTAAGCTGATTTCTGACACCAGGAGGTCCACATTACTTTCCTGTGTGCTTGTTTTCCATTGTACCAGACGAGTTTTAAGTGAGTTAGTAATTATTGGAAATTACAGTGCATGAAAGACCTCACCCTATGCGATTCAAGTGGACTGTGCTTCTTTCCTTGCAGACTGTCTTGTTTATTTTTAGTTGTTTAGCCTGATTTTCAAAGAGAAGCATATTAGCTGGAACCATTAGCTGCTTTTACGGTAGCTAAGTTTGTCCATACACAGCCCCATTTTTACATTGGATATGAAAAATGTATCCATTGCACTATGTAGGGTTTGGAGTCTGAACAGAGACTTGTCAGGTGTTTATAAATGTTTGTGATTGCCTAGTGTTTGTTCTTTTTTGTTTAAATAGTAACTGCCCCTCAACAATGCACGTGGCACATTTTCTTGCCAACAAAGGCAAGGGGAGCTGTGTTGTAGATCAGTCAAAGATAAAGGTCTGCCAGTGTATGTACTACGTTATGCCTTGTCAGTGTCCTGTGAGATAGTATGCAGCTATAGCTGCCCAGTAGATGATGGTGTGTGAACATGTTGGCCAGCCTTGAGAAAATAATCCCAGTGGATGTTGCGCTTGATGACTAAAAATGCTGTAAAGTCCTTTTAAAATAAGTGTTATTTTCCTGTAACTCTGGCTCATCTGCCTGATTCCAGGCAAAAAAACACTTGACTTCTTCAGGTTTTTACATAGCAATCTCCAGTAATGTGCTTGATGGATCTGAAGTATATTTCATCACTGCCGTCATTTTTAAGACGGGTTCTGCAGCAGAGCACATTTCAAGCCCTTTGTATTTTAAACTGAGAGGAATGGGAAATGCATCTACATGATAGTAAAAAATTACAAGCACTTAGTACCTGCCTGCAGTATGATAGAGAGTGATTTCTTCAGAGGCATGAAAGTGTTAGCTTGTGTGCAGGCTTTTATCAGACCGCTCTATGAGCTGGCAGAAAACTCATTTTTGGCCTTAAAAGGAAGTTCATGGAAGTTATAAACTTGTGATTAGGATCATAGGCACCCAGTTATCCCTAAAGCTCCAGATGGCGAATGATTTAAACCCTCAGTTCTGCACTGAAAATTATTTCTGAGATGCCATTAATACTAGCGGCAGAGTCTGCAGGAATAAGAGCGGACTCTTACAGTAGTATCTGAAAAGGCAATCTGTAATAACGGTATTGGTGTGGACACGCAGTTCCAAACAATGAAAGGTTACAATATCGTGGTTGAAGCACTAATTTCCATATATAATAAATGATTATAGACATTTGATAAACCTGCTAAACATAAGGTTCACAGCTATGTATTAGTTCTGGAATCGTCATACTGTTTTTCTACAGAAACTATTTTATGTAAGTGCTCTTTAACATTAGATGTGTTCATACATTTCATGTCTGGTGTGCTGCATTTTAAAGCAGTGAGCTGAAATGTTTCCCTTCTGTTCATATGATAGGTCTTCCAAATGAGTCGAAACATGTCAGAGACTTAAGTTCTTCTAATTATGCCTAGTATCTATTATATACTTTATTGATACTTATAGCAGTGTTTCTCAATGTACCCTTGATTTAAGCCACCAAATTGCAAGTAGCCCTTGACATGGGTACATTTTAAATTGGCACCACCAGTACATGCGTAAATGTTTTCCAAACAATCCATTATGGTTTGACATAATTAACAATACTTGGTAACATCATTTTTATCTGAATGATTATTTACTAAAACTACAAACTGTGATCATTAGTTGATTAGAACGCCGTAAAAGTCATTAGAGTACACATACAATTGATTGAGAGGTTGTGGTTTATGCTCCCAGCCAATCAGCAAGGAGCTGGCTTCCTGGCCAATCAGGAAACTGGGAGACGGGTCATTAGTCGCTGACCCGCTTCCTGATTGCACGGGAAGCTGGCTCCATGTTCCCCTCCGGCACTGCCGGCCAGAGGAAGTCTTTCTCTGATCAGAAGTTCAGAATTGGAGAAGATATCGAGCATTTGGGCGAGTACAAGTACTCTGTATCTGTGCATCCCTAATCAAAACTGTATTGGTCTGTGCTAAATAGCGCTTCTCAGTGGTCAGCGTGGTCGCCAGAGCGAAATTCAAAATGCATAGTGCAGGACTGCGCTGGACAGTACGGGGTAAGGACAGTACACCTGTACCGGCGGAGGGTAAGGACTGTTTGCCGAAAGGTAAGTATAACCGGGGTGTGGGGGGTTTTGGGAGAGACGGGGGCAAGATTTGATCGGGTAATTCCATTTTCCCATATTACCTGGGAAAGTGAACTTGCCCTTTAATGCACATTGTGCGTGTGGGAGAGTTCTGCTGCCTCGCTACCACAATACGGCACAGTGAAATGGTGGCAGCACTCAACGCACACACACAATGTCCTATGCGTGCGTTTATTTGCATGCGGGGGCAGCGGGGTTTTTTTTTTTTTTTACATTGTCACTTTTTTTTTAAATATTATTTTGTACTTTTTCATAACTTTTTTACATTTTTATTATTTTTTTTCCCCCCCACCTAATTTTATTCCTATCACATAGGGATTTAAAATCCTCTAAGTGATAGTTTGGAGGTGACAGGTTCTTTTTATGGAACCTGCCCTCCAACACAGAACTAATGTTCTGTGTAGTTCCTGACAGCTGAGACAGGTGGCGCTGTGATGACAGCGCACCCTGTCTCAGTGATAAAACAGAGCAGACGAAAAACCTCCGTTTTTCCTCTGCTCTATGGTGAGCTCATGTTCCGTGGTTTCGGGTCCGCTAGAGGAGCGGGGACCCCGAAAACCATGGGGGGGCGGTATGGACAGAATCGCCGCCTCTCGTTTCATACAAGTGATCAGATCACTTGAAAACGAGCGGCGGCTCCACACTGTACACTTGGCTCTGCTTGTCCGGAGCGGGGCTAAGTGTACAAAAAAACTACTCGCCCGGCGCCCGAAACTGCCTGTCCCGGGCGTCGGGCGATAGGAATTCCACACCCCTGAGTTGGGCACTGGTAATCCTGTTTTGGACTTCTTTACCTTGTCAGTAACCCCATTTTAAAGTCAAATTTTAAAGTTTAAAGTCAAACCTCTTTAGGTTTTAAATGAGTGTTTATTTGATATCTCAAAAAAGAGCATGATGTAACCATAAAGAGCTAACGGGCCTTTAGCAGTTTAATATGAATTAACAAGGCTTATGAATTAACCAAGCTGCAATTGGTTGTTGGGCCTTGCTGCAAAACTTTACACAATTATAGCACTGTTCTACTCTTATATAACAAGGCACAAGAGCAAAGAATTGAATTCTTCTAGCTGGGCAGAGGGAGTATGTAGGTTTTTGGAGACCTTCCGTAGTCTACCATTAATTGGTGACTGTGTCTGGGAGGAGATTTCTTCATACAGCTGACTTCCTTTGATCAATAATGAGGTTGTAGGTGGGCTGAAAGAAATAAATGAGGATACTCACAGGTGTTTAGTGGCTTAGTGTAAGGAAAACAAATTTTCTTCTCTGCTGGTAAATAGACAATTGAAGGTTCACATTCTAGTTTAGTCTCTGTTTTAAGGTTATTCTTGTGCATTGATAAAAATCAGAGATGGGAATAATGTGAGAGAACTGGGCCAATGACTAGTTATATAGCCTGGAAATAGAAGCCAGCTGTCTGTCTTCTGAGGAGGGTAGCAGCCCTGGGGAATTCAGGCCACTGCCTCACAAGGGAGGCAAGGAAGGGAGTGCCTTTGAGAAACTATGTCAGAGGCCTAAAGAATCAGAATAGGGAAAAATTAAGTGCATTCCTATTGCCTTCAGCCACAAAGTTAGAATACGCAGAGATTGTGACTGCTGGTCAAGGTGCATAGATTAAGAGTCCTGTAGGGATGCGCCAATACCGTTTTATTTCTGTATCGAGTACGAGTACCGATATTTGTTTTCCGATACTCGCTGTTAGAGATACCGGAAGTCCCATTAAGGAAGCCAGGCGGCGTGTAATGACTCATCACCCGGCTTCCCGATTAGCAGGGAAGCAGTCTCCATGCTCCCTCATCACCAGGTGATGAGTAAGCATGGAGCCGGCTTTCCGGCCAATCAGGAAGCTGGTCGCCGTGTAATGGCGCGTTGCTCGGCTTCCTGATTGGTCGAGAAGCCGGCCAATCAGCAAGCCAGGCAACGCGTCATTACATGGCGCCCGGCTTCCTGATTGGCTGAGAAGCAGGCTCCATGCTCCCTCGTCACAAGTGAGGAGGGAGCATGGAGTAGGTCCAAAGGATGTATAAAACACGGGGGGGGAACTAAATAAAAAAACAGCTATCAGAACGAACACAGTTCAAAGACTGAAGGGTTTAAAAAAAACAAAAAGCTGCTACATTGTAAATAATAACAAACTTGTTTAGGGGGCTTAGGTTGAACTGATAAGCAATTCAAAGGATGTCCCTTCTATTCATCGTACAATACAAATGGTCTCTGTTCACTTATAGTCACATCTATGAAAAACACATTAGGGATTGTAACTTATTAACTGGCCTTTGGCTAGTTTGCAATGGCAACATTTTTTAAGGACAACGGTTTTTTTAATTCAGTGTAGGGCACAGCTCTGCTTTAGATCATTACGAACTGGCTATATCACCTGCAGGAGTTGGACATTAGGTGCATTAAAAACAAAAGACAGCCCAGGTAGCCCCTACTGAGCCGAAATCCCCTCCACAACTAATGGACACTTACTGTAGTTACATGACATAGCAGTACAAACAACACAAAGAAAAGTATTACATCTGTGGCAAGCCAGAGGGTATGGTTGTGTGTTCTCCAATGAAGCCAGAGAAAATAATTTTACAGTGAATACAAAAAAACATATTTTCTCTGGATTCATTGGAGGACACAGCACCCGCCCCCCCCTGGCTTGCTACTGCCACATGTGTAAATACCTTTCTTTGTGATGTTTGCACTGCTGTGCCATGTAACTGAGTGTCCACAGCTGTGGAGGGGGTTTTGGCCGCCAGAAGGAGCTGCCCCTTGAGCTGTCTTTTGTTTTTAAGTGCACCAAGTGTCCTACTCCTGGTGTTATACCTAGTCCGTAATTATCAAGCAAGCTGTGTCCTCCAATGAACACAGAGAAAAGGATTTACGGTGAGTGCAAAAAATGCTGTTTGGAAAATGTTCTTATCTTGATGAATACAGTAAAATGTATTTTACAATGGCCAGCAAAGTAACAAACCTTTTGGAGTCAAAACTTGGGGAAGTTATCACTATCTACGTGGAGACTTTTCTTACACAGATTGATAAATTGTGTGAAGCTATCGAAGTGGAAATTGCTGTAAAAATGGGTGAAAATTCACACATTGGTAAATTCACCCCACATTTTGAATAAATAGCTTAGCATATGTCAGGTATGTTTTAACATCTTGACAGCTATGCACACATGGCATTTGTATTGTTAATGCAGTCATTTCACTTGATATCGCTTCTCTCCAGATGTGAATGTTTTTTGTGGCATACATGCAGTGTGTACATACGGTACAATTAAACATTTATATAAAAGTGATGGTAAACGTAGCATTATCCAGGAACCTATAGGAATTAAGGGCAGCCCTAGCACTTCAGGTTAAAGATCAGCATGTCTTCTCCTGTAAAAAATAGAGTACACGACACATGTTCTTTCATCCATTTAGCATTTACATTATTGCAGACCATCCACCTCGTTCCTGCAGTGCATTATGCGAGGTTTTGATATCGCTCGGATTGCAGTTTCAAGAAGTGGCTCTCTTAATCCACTATGACTTCATTTCCCCTTCAAGAAACAAAGCTATTGGCTTCTGTGGCGAATATAAACCAAGACTACTTAATACCTGCTAAGTAGCATTCACCACAGTCACGTCCGCGCCAGCTTGATCCACTTCCAATTTCTTGTTGGCGTTCTCTGTGCTATTTATTTGTAACAGCTTTTATGTGAGACATAATGTACACACATCAGTGTAAATTAAAAAACGGAAAGGATCTGCGTTTCAAAACAGAATATTAGGTAATTATAACCGAGACCAAAACAGTTCTTAAACTGGGCAGTTCTAGTGCATCTTATTCCTTGTTGTGTAGAAAGCTTTCATGTGTACAGCCAGATTTTATGATAAATTTGTGGAAGGCTAGTAATATTCAATCGCTGTCACTTCCATAATTCCCTTGAGCAATCAGTCTTTTTCCATAACCAGTGCAACAAACAAAGTGCATTGACCCATTACAACCTGTTAGTACTCACTTTACAGAAGTCATTGTGCAAGATAGATTCTGGCTGGACCCTGCTGGTACTGCAGTTTGCTAAATGCACTCTTTAATATTGTAATATTGTGATTAATATTTTCTGATATTTTAGACATTATTGGGATTAAAGTGTGCGTATAGCAGAAAAGGGCAAGGATTAGAACTTCCTGTTATGTCTGCAGCACAGGAAATTAAGGGAAATCTCCCCAAAGAGACGAAGACATAAAAAAAAAAACGACATGGGATTTCAACTTCCCAAAGCTACTTACACTTTAAAACAAATATTTCTTTACTGCTGCCCCTTGCATTACTTTTTCCAAAATAGGAACACATTTATTTGTTGTCTTGCAGTGCCAATGTCACAAAATAAGACTTAATTGTAACATTTTCTCTTTAAAGTGGGACTCCGGACCTGTTCCTTATATTCCTCTTAATTGCTATCGTAATGATATTAAAGGAGAACTATGAGGTGAGTGCTTTTCACTCACCTCATGGTTCTAGCCGACCTGTGACAATGAGACTGTCACAGATCGGCTCAGTAGATCGGGAGGTGAGCGAACACATACCGGCGTTCGCTCAGCTCTCGATCCTTTCACGGCTCTCTGCCGTGCCAGGGGAGGGGCTGGATTCCCCCCTCCCCGCTCCGATCCGCTAGCGCTGACTGGCGGAACGGACGGGGCGGGTACAGCTGGCTCTGCCTCTAGATAGGCAGAGCCAGCTGTCAGTCACGCAGCTGGGCGGATCTCGGCACAATTGTCGGGATCCACTTCAGCTGCGGCGTCTCAGTATACCGCGAGCAGCTGCTCGCGGTATACTGTGGCGTCTCAGTATACCGCGAGCTACAGCGCGCGGTATACTGAGCCTAGGGTGACGGGAGGACGCTAGTTTGTGTCTTCCCGTTACCCTGAGGAGAACTATGGGGAAAAGACTTAACCCCATAGTTCTCCTTTAAATCTCTGCAATGTATGGGGGTGCCTTCTGGCCAGTATTTTACCAACATGGGCAGCAAAAATCAGACTTGTTCATTAAAGGAAAGCGCTTTTAAGGCTCCCAGAAAAAAATAGCAACCTTAGCAACAATAGATGAACCAAAAATTATCTGAAAAAAGTGCTAACTTTACACTATTCAAGACTAAAATAATATGCCAAGAACTCCACTTTAAAACAAGGATATTTTTGTTAGTGGTTTTATGACCACCCAGATTCAATGGTGGCATTGTGTCCACCCAGAAAATCTCTCTTTGGATGTCCACATATTTCCCATTCCCATTGTTATAATTAATCTTTTCTTTAGCTATGGCTCAGGTTTTTCTCTAAATCTCGGCTATCATTAGCTAACCACAGAGACTCTGGTAGCATGAATATATCTATCATTGTTCAATAGCCACACTCCAGAATGAGGTAGGACTATGTCGGATTGGCAAGTATGGTGGTGAAAGAGGAGATTGTAGTGTGGTCATCCTATATGCAGACATTGGTTCTTACCCTAACTTCTCTGATTTGGTTCAACTAACGAATCTCAGAAAATTCCCCTGGTAGGATTCAGACCTAGGTACCAAGAGGGCTAACCACTAAGCCACAATGCTTGGGCCAAATAACTTTTATTGTTTTGACAGACATTCTTGAATAAGAAAGTGGTGTAAAGACACCTGCAGATTTTTATTGCACCTTATCGTAGGTAAGGTATCTGTGGTCTGTCTCTGCATGCACTGTACTGTACCATTCTTCTGCCAGGCTTCCTTATTAACAGCAAGTCATTATTTGGTATTTTAAGTCATGAAGCTTTCAAGTTTGTCTCTCACTTGATGCATATAACCATTAAATTACAAATACCTGGTTTCCCTCATATATGTATGTGTGTGTTTTTTTAATTAACTAGGTGAGATGCCACAACTGGTGAGAGGAATGAAGCTTTTAAATCAAGCAGATCCCTGTGTTGAAGTCCTGATCCAGGAAACAGGAGAACATGTACTTATTACAGCAGGAGAGGTTCACTTGCAGCGCTGTCTGGATGACTTAAGAGAAAGGTTGGGGGAAAAAATATATATATTTTTCTGTAAACATATTGTAGTTGTCTTTGACCAGGCACTGATTTATGCCTTTTAGTTAGCTGGAGTTTCTCATCCAAAAATCTTCCAGCATCCTTTTGCCCTTAAGTACATTTATTAATGGCTATAAAATGATGTGCTGCTGGCGAGTGCTGCCTCTTCTCTGCCCTTGCATCCATCGTGAGTTCTTTTTGGCAGGCTACCTCTCATTACTTGTCACTGAATGGGATCGCTTCATTTATAGCTGCATGCTTCGTGGACGATGGATTTTCCAATTAAAAAGCGATGTAGCTGTAATAAAACCCTGTATTTATCTATATGTGTATCTAATACTGCATTATCGATACAGATGGTTGTTCTTTAATACTTCCTTTCTGTCCTGTAATTATACTTGTCTCTCTTGTTGCTGAATTTTTTAGGACTTGGCTTGTTATTCAAGTAGAGTTCTAAGAAGATTTAAAATGATGTAAAATCCATAAAATTTTCTTTAAATTGATCTTTATTTCTATTGGGCCCATAAATTCAGCTACACTGAGTCTCACATATGCTGTTCTTATTTCTACTCCGATAACATTAAAAAAAAGATTATATGTTTAATAATTTCCTCTAAACTGTAAATTAAGTAATTTTTACTTTCAGATTGCAGTTGTGTTATAAATATTATTTCTTCTATTCATTTTTCATTATTATAACAATCTATATTCTAAACCAGAAAGTTTGGTGTAATGAGCACAGCTTTGGCTGCAGTGGTACCATTTTTGAGGCCTTAAATTTTTAGAGGTACCATGATATGAAGAGCATGCTCACAAATTGCTTTTGATTAACCCAATGACTTGTTTCCATCCACTTAAGGCCCGGTTCACACCTGGGCGTTTTGTAGCGCCTTCCTACACTCTGCAAAATGCCCAAACACCGAAATCCCATTATTTCCTATGGGTATGGTTCACACCTGGGCGTATTACAGGCCGTATGAACGTGCTACAAAACGCCCTACGCCCAAAGAAGTACAGGAGCTTCTTTGGGGCGTATTTGCTGCGCGTATCCATTGGGATACAGCCAGGTAGCCCTCGGAAACACGCGTTTGTCTCATGTTTTTTTACCGCGAATCGCGGTAAAAACGCTCGTCACGAAACGTGCGACGAACGCGCATATTCAATACGCCTAGGTGTGAACCCGGCCTAAGAGAGACACTGCACCAAGATGAGTGGCCCATATTCTACACAAAAGTTGATTAGTTGGAGGTCTGGCACTACCTAACCTAAAATACTATCGTGAAACATTGTTGCTAGATCAACTTCAATATTGGTGTAAATTTACTCCGGATAAACAATGGCCCCAGATGGAACTTTAGTTGTTGAAAGCTAAATCAGCAGTGGACATTTTACTGTCCTCTAAATTTTCAAAACTTAGCTACATCCCGCCATACGCATCTGTTCAAGTCACAATAGAGGCCTTAGTCCTTCTCCATCCTCCAAAGGTATTAGGCTGTTCTATAAGTTGCTAGGGAATACTCATCACTTCTTGAAATCCGTACACATGCTAAAATGGGAACGTGAATTGGGAACCTTATTCTCCGATCAGCAGTGGTTGGAAGCCATTCAAATTTCTTATAAAAAGTACCAGCTGCGCCTCTCATTAGGAGACATTTTATAAATTGCTACAAAGATGGTATCACACGCCTTATAAATTAGCCAAATTTTCCAAAGCACATTCACCAACCTAATGGAGTTTGTGTGGTGACACTGGATCTCTAGCTCATATTTTTTGGCATTTTAAATCAGTACGCTCTTTTTGGAACCGAATATTCACACTCATTTCCCAATTCACGTCTTCACCTGTTCTACCCTCTATTGCTTTAGCATTACTACATATAGACCTGTAGGGATATATCGATACTAGTATGGGTATCGGTGACGATACTGAGTTTTTAGATGAGTATTTATACTCGCCCAAATACCCCTGATGCTTACTTCAATACCGAAAATTCCAGTATCAGGAAGTCATTACACACCGCCAGCTTCCTGATTGGCCGGGAATCCGGCTCCATGCTGTCTCATCACCAAGGAGCATGGAGCCAGCTTCCCAACCAATCAGGAAGCAGGCGGGTAATGACCCCCCCCCCCCGGTTTCCTGATTGGTCGGGAAGCTGGCCAATCAGGAAGCCGGGCATCAAGTCATTACACTGAACAACATTGGACCCCCTCTTCTCAAAGACACCAGATAAGACCCCTAGGCTTCTAGTTGTACATTTTTTTCACCTATGATTTACATGACTTTCACCGCCAATGTTATTGGATAATTGGATATACTGTACACCGTTACTTATGCACACCCACATATCTTACACTTGCTATATAGATGGCTATACAATAAAAGTAAATAGAACTGTTTATAAGTTTTTATACATGGCTGTAATAATATAGAGACACTTGCATTTCTGATAGACCTCCAGGAGCTCACAGTAGAACACAGGGTTGCAATCAAGTGCAGGATCATTGATGTGTTATACACTACACATTTGCCATACACTGAGTGGCCAGTTTATTATGACCACCTGACGTTTGTAGGCAAATTAGCTATAATTTTGTGCTGAAGTTGCTAGAGGGCCAGACTATTATAAATAGGGAAGCAGGTTGTTTACCACGACAGTAGAAGTGTTTTTTTTTCCTGAAGATATGGGTAAACAACGCGATTTAACAGCCTTTGAACGTGGGATGATTGTTGGCACGAGCCATGGAGCGAGTATCAGCAGAATTTGTTAAATGTTCAAGAGCAGCTGTTGTTAAAGTGTTTAAAGACTGGACTGTCAGCCGGAAATCTGGGTCTGAACGTGCGAATTGTGGCCGCCAGCAACTAGTCAATGTTAGGGCAGAACGGAGAGTGGCAAGACTGGTACAAGACAACAGAAGGGCAACAGTGCAGTGTCAGGTTCCTCGCATCACCTTTCAACATCTTGTGGAGTCATGAGGCGGCCCAACTAAGTCATCTCGTGGAGTTATCTTGTGGCCCAACGAAGTACTGATGGGGTGGTCATAATAATCTGGCCACTCAGTGTACAGGTGAAACTCGAATAATTAGAATATCGTGCAAAGGTAATTGCAGTAAGTGCTGCAAAAGGGGCCCAAACCAAGTACTGAGTACATATGCATGCTTGTACTTTTCAGAGGTCCGATATTGTTCTATGTACAATCCTTGTTTTATTGATTGCATGTAATAATCTACTTTTTTGAGGTTGTGGATTTGGGGTTCTTGGGGTTTTCATGAGCTGTAAGCCATAATCATCACAATTATGACAAATCACGGCTTGAATTATCTTGCTTTGCATGTAATGAGTCTATCTCATATATTAGTTTCACCTTTTAAGTTGCATTAGTGAAATAAATGAACTTTGCACGATATTCTAATTATTCGAGTTTCACCTGTATATCTGAATTGTTAGAGCATATATTAACACATAAACTATACATTAAACTGATTTTATTTTTTTAAGTGCCAAACCAAGACAAGGACAGATGTATATTACTGTATTGTAGTTGGATCACAGTTAGAAAAGCTGTTAAGAGTCTGAGTAATTATTGTCCCTAGTGACGGAACAGCCGGCATCCAGTTCCCTATTCCAAGTACCAGATTACCATATGTCTCCCTATAACTTGTTATAATGGTCATAGAATGACTTAGGATGGATGGAAGTCATCAGTTAGGTATTATCCAAATGGCTTGAATATTCTTAGTCTAAGGCAGACTTTGTCAAACTATGGCTTCCAGCTGTTGAGAAACTACAGATTCCATGTTGATGAATCTTTGAAGCTGTTTATCCTGTAGTTTTTCTGTAGGGATATACTAATTAATATACTTCTGTATACTGCTGTTTTCTGCTAGATCAGGGTTTGTGGTTAATCCTTGTCCTGTAATGTATGGACAAATGATGTCTCCCATAAGTTTAGCAAGCTATTAGATGTGTGTGTACGGAAAATAATTAAGAATGCTTAACATTTCCTTACACTTATTATTACATAATCTCCCATCTATGAACACTGTAGTGTAGATTCTGGTAGGCCTATTTTGCCCTAAATTAGTTAATAGCCTCCTCGGCTGCACTTACCTTCATAGCAAATGCAAAAACAGTTAAAGGAGAGCTATGGGATCAGGGCTTTTCCCCATAGTTCTCCTAAGGGTCACGGGAGAACACAAACTAGCGTTCTCCCGTGACCCAAAGCTCTGTATACCGCGAGCTACAGCTCGCGGTATACTGAGACGCCGCAGCCGGGACGGATCCCGACATTGCTTTCGAGATCCACCCAGCTGCGGGATTGACAGCTGGCTCTGCCTATCCAAAGGCAGAGCCAGCTGTGCCCGCCCCCTCCCCCGTCCGTTCTGCCAGTCAGCGCTGGAGGATCATGACAGCGGAGCGGGGGAATCCCTGCACGGAGCCGTGAGTGACAGTCACGGCTCTCTGCAGGGATAGATCGAGAAGTGAGCGAGCGACGGTATGTGTTCGCTCACTTCCTGATCTACTGAGCCGACCTATGACAGTTTCATTGTCACAGGTCGGCTCAGATTATGAAAATCACTCGCCTCATAATTCTCCTTTTAGACTTGTACATATATGTAAAGTTTTTCTACATATTCATGAATGCTGTTATACGTTCTTTCATATAAAATAGTTTTATATTTTTGGTCTACTGATCCTTCCAACAACTGTCCTCTGAAAGGTTGGCTCTATTTAAATGACACTATCCCAAACATTTTACTTTAATGGAGATACAAAGATTGTCTTCTGACATCTGTAATTATTAATATGCTCACAAAATGTCTGTTGCTGTGATACTGAGAAATATATGCCTGCCTGAGGAAATTTAGCATGTTTTTCCATATGTATTTGCTTATTTCAGATAAACACAGATGCATGCAGGCACTTTAATAACACGGTTTCCCTCAGCGTTTAGTTAATTGGAGGCCTTAGGATCAGAGGTTGAGGG